GCAGTGTTTGTTTGGGACCTGCAGCGGAGTTTGGGCCCAGACATGGCTAATAACGTCAGACTTAAAGACCGGATTGGCTATGTGAGGAGTTCAATTTAACTTCACAACAGCTGCTGCCTCAAGGCAGTAATATAATAAATAGGTTAATTTACAGCATTCAGAGATATTAGCATGTTTCATGAACTTTCTTTATTTTTTTTTAAATCAGGGCTTAAAAACGGATTCTGACGGCTTGTACACTAAGGGCTCAGGTATGTTCAGGTGTGTCTATCAGGGTGGCAAGTAACGGCCTGTTTGAAGAGAATTTACAGACCTTAAGCCCTAAGACCTGCTCAGAGCTGTGGTGAAGCAGGATGTCCAATCATCAGTCTCAGCTTCAGGTGGGGATGTCAGGTGGTTCCTCCACCACAGTCAGAGTATGAGTGAGAAACCCGTTAGAAGACCACAGGGGTTAGACAACTCTGTGATGACATCACAGAGTCAATAAGGTATTTGAAGTTGGATCTCTAAGATTAGAGTGATGATGATAATGATGGGTTTCTTCTTTCAGATCCTCAGTGGGAAGAAGATGGAGCTTCTTCCTGGAGACCGTGACAATCTGGCGATCCAGACTCGAGGAGGACCGGAGAAGCATGAAGTGACCGGCTGGGTGCTGGTCAGTACAAACACTATGTTATGTCACTGCTGCAGTGGGACCAATCAAAATAGACCATGGTGTTTGTGTTTCAGATCTCGCCTCTGACCAAAGAAGAAGAAGGATTGTACGAGTGTCACGCCACAAACACCAAAGGAGAAGCTTCAGCAGTTGGAGCAATTCATGTGGTTGAGTCCATCGATGAGCTCACTGCCAGGAAAGGTAACATCTAAAATTACCTTATGAAACATCCCCCATGGTCATCACTGACCTTGGTCTCTGGAGGATTTACCTCAGCCTTTGTCAGCCTTTCAAAAACACCATCAGACTCAGCTCAGTTTTTCAGGCGTAGATTCTTCCACTTCTTCCATAACTATAAACTGTTAAATGAAGAAAAATGTTTCTAGTCCAAGAAGCAGACTTATCCATGTCAGTGAAACACGCTTTAGGGCGGCAGTGGAATCAGAGCTCCTGTTACTGAAACTTTTAAAATGATAAATAAAACATTTGCAGAGGCATTATCCAGCTTTTATT